GTTCATCAGATTAAATGTCTTATAAAATTTTTTTTCTTGATTGTAAAGAATTTTGTTTATAGCGATAACCTACGTACGTACGTACGTACGTAGCTTTAAAGGCGTAATAATATTTCTAAATTCGTTGTTGGCGTACATGATACTGATATAGTATTTTAAACCCATTCCTAAAATCGTGAAACGTTGATTTGCCAAATTCGCTTTGTTGTTTATATACAGTAGCTGCTCGATGCGGTCACGTTAAACCAAGAACAGATGAATAGAAGCTAATTTAAAAACATTGAATAGCTCTGATACAGAATAGTTATATCTAGTATCGAATTCAGATACTTAAAAGATTTCAGGTACATGATTTTATATTGAATAATTATATTGATATTAAATGCTATAAAACAAAAAAGAAATTTCGTAGGATCTTAATGGAATTTGCAAATTTGCACATTTTACCATGTCAAATATAATATATTGATTAAATAATTATTGTGATCGTATATAAATTACACTCACAGACAAAAACAATTTGAATAAATGATTATTATACTGTCAGAATGAATTGATGCAAATAAAAAATGAGCTCGACGACGGAAAGGTAAGAGTTGACTCAGATCATGCCGCGAAGCGGCATGATTTGAGACAATCAAATGGCCGCTAAATGACGTCGACTTAATATCATCTACATTTTCTACCTATTATCTGGGAGCGTTTCTTTTTCTGGTTCTTTTTTTTTTTATTTTTACTCGGAAACTTTTTGACATAACAATCGTTAAGATATATATCCAAAAAAAGAAATATTAAAATTCCGAACCATGGGATAAACATAGATATACCATGATATAGTATTAATACGGGTAACATGATCAATAGTAACTATCGGATAATAGTTATTAGAGAGTGGAATCGATGAGTTTCGAGCATTGATTGATCACAAATTCTAGAATTTCGAGAATCGGTAAAAAAAATTTTGACAGATGTTCGAATGTTCGATGAATTTTTATCATTTGTATTGCTATCGCTACATTTTTAATATTTAATTTATCGATAATCATGTTATCATTATCAAAACCCAGCTAAATTTCAATCAAAAAATGTATCATTATCAAAAAAAAATAGTTAAATTTTAACTTTCACTGATGCTCGATGATAACCAAATTAAAAACTCAATGGATGAAAGCTTATATTCGATACTCGAAATTTTTGATCGATGGTCGAATAATTAGTCATCGATTCAAATCTCTAATAGTTATACTGTTAGACCATAAGTCCGATCGAATCATGTGCTTATAATGCGCCACGTCGCACAAAGCTATTGAAACTATTAATGCTAATAGCGCTATTAGCCATTAAAGAAATATTATTTATTCTAGTTTTATTTATATACTTTAGCTTTATTATCTATATTAATTCTATTATATATATCAGTTATATTATATCTTGTATAATTAAGATACAATATCATTGATATTTATAATAGTTCTTTAAAGAATATGCATAAATACCCTTCGATTTGCCGTTGGAAATCGACAATTCAAAGCTCACGATCAATAAATAAAACATAAAATCGTATCTTCATGTATGAGATAAACCCAAACCTGATTGTTAAGAGATTTAACAGTCTTGATCACGTGACTGTCGAAGAGATTTCACGGTCACATTGTTGAAATTACTTTATATGACTACCTGTATCTTCATATACATTTAGCCTTTGCCTCTTTCGTAGAAAGCAAATCACTTAAAACCTCTAGTTATACTCGCTGCTTGGAATACTAAGCACGTGAGGCATTTATCAATTATCAACGGCAGTTGCATCAAACCGTTAAATCAATACGAATTAAAGATTTAATGAGAAATGAATTAATATTTTGATGATAGTTATGGGTCACTATAATAAACAATCAAACATAATTTAAATCTATCAGAAAACGAAATAAAAATTTATGTAACTTTATTTGAAAACAAGTACGTCATCTATTTCAATCAAAATTTGAAACCTCTCAATATCTCAATCTCATGAGGAGAATGCCTCTAATAATTATAATAAGCATTTTTGTTTCTATTTAGATAAATGTAAAGTATATAAATCTATTTAATGAAGGTCAAAGAATTAAAAAAAAAAGAAAGAAAAAAATAGCACACTTTAGAAATTAATAAGCATATTAAAAATCTATTTATGATTCAAATTTTTGAATCGAAAATGAAATAGGTATGTTAGAGCTCTTCATTTCGTAAAATTAGTGAAATTTCAATAAAAAGATTATAACTCAAATTTGTTGAAAACGAAATGAAATTGTTACATACTTATCTGAAAATAAATATATCTTTTATTTCAAGATTCCCATATTTTTAATTCTGAAATCTCTCAATAGGGTGATTCAAACCTAATTATCAGGGTTCTGATTTCAAATTAAATTAGCCTATAAAAAATGGTGCACGGAATTTATGGTCAAACACGGGTACGTAACAGCAACTGTGCACGTAATAGCGTGCTTTATTACGTGCTTTCCCGTGCAATTTTCCGTATAGTTACGTATGTAGTCGTTTATTATTTAGTTGCATGAAAAAATTTCGAGCAATTACGTGTTCGTCGATTTTGCGTGTAAGCAGATTCCGCGCAACTGTGCTTTGGACGTGCTATATTTCAAGCAGATAAGTGCAATCACGTGTAAAAATTTCTTATATGGTAGTGATGTAATTATTTGAAATCAGTGATGCGTAAACTTTATTTATTTTGATTTGTAAGCTTATTTATATAATATAATTAATACTTTTTACGATCGTTCAAACTTTATATCTTTCATATATATTTTTACAATGCCTCATAAGTCTGATCGACAATTACATATAAATAACTTTTTTAGAAGAAAATGTACTCATAAAATATTCTCAAAGAAATTAATAGGGTTACTCATTTCATCTCCGAATAACACTCATTTCATTTTCTGATTTCAAAATTCAACCAGAAATTGAACTTTTTGAACCCCACTTACTTTCGATATAAGTTAACTTTGAATATTAAAATTTTTAAGATTCGTATACAGTAAAACATGTAAGCCTGATTAGGTAAACTTATGATTTGGGCTTTTGATAGGCCAGAAAAAATCATATGTTATTATTCACTTACGTAGTAACTCTGATTGGTAATGATTGTCACGAAAATTTAAAAATAGTCGCATTTCTCAATTCAAAATTTTCATAATTGCCTTTTAATTATGTTAAAATGATTTATGTTTTCAGATATTATTTCAACAAAATTGGCAAATATTTCAGCCACTGTAACTCCGGTCAAATAGAATCAATAGGTGTAACAATACAAAAGGCATTATTATTAATGTATTTACATATTAGGAAAAAAAACAATAGTAAAATATTTCAGCCACTTTAACTCCTCGAATAGAATCAATAGGTGTAACGATACGTCAAAAGGCATTATTTACATATTAGGAAAAACAACAATAGGAATATAACCAAATATTTATCTTTTTATTTATACTAATTAAGTCAGTGAGTATAGCGATTATTTTTATTACATAAGGCCGCTGTAGGTTAACGGTTGGTTAATGTGGGTATTTTGAGCTCAGGCAGTGTTCAGGAGAAACTTTTAGGATAATATCATTGCCAAATTTTAATTCAAGTTTATAAATATTTACTACTCATTCGTAATTTAGAATAGATGAAATTGTATAACACATTATTCAAAAATTTTGCACATGTGCAAATATTGCAAAAAAAAATAAAAAATTAAATAGGAATTATATTTTAAAGTAAAAATCAAAATTTATCTTTCTATTGGATTTATATGATCCCTTGACATTAGAGATTGTATTTGTTGAGAAAATCTTTACCCAGTTATTATTAAGTTACTTGTTTTATTCATATATTTCGGTAGACATATAACAACAATTTCTATCCAGGTATGCACTTTTTAAATTGTCTTGTAGTATATCTACACTATGTAAATCCCGATGAAGGCACAAACACCACCTGACATTTAACTTTAACTAAAATTAGGCAATCAATAACCAAACTACAGTATGAATGTCAAAGAGAAATAAGTGCAACTTGCTACTTCGTGTTATGTTAACTATTTTGAGCAACTTCTAAATTGCAATAAATTGGTGAATTTGGTACCGATAGATGTAGAAATCTTTTCAGTTTGTAAAAATTGTTATCAAAGATTTCTTATTAATTAGACGTTAATATTCATTAATCATGCGTTCCCTTTGGAATATGTCCTTAATCAAATTCATTTTATTCATAATCATTTTAGTATGTACCATTTTTAAGACAAATAGTTTTACTCCAGAAGGTAGAGGAGGTCATGGAGCTGTAATAATTAATAATCAGTTGTATATTATGGGAGGATCTCGTTTGATTCCAGACACGAGCCCATTCAGGAGTTCAATAAGAAGATATAATTTATCGAATGAAGTTTTTTATTTGGATCTTACATCGTCATTTTCTACAAATAAGCCACCGTATGTAGACCTTACTGGAACTTCTGCGCGATTGCAATATGGGAATGAAAAAAGTTAGTTCTTTAATT